CCCCGGCTTGGAGAAAAGAAGGTCTGGGCTGCTGCAGATGGTCTAAAGAGTGCTATTGAAGCTTCCGAGGACTGGTTCAAACAGAGAGCCTTTTACAACGCTTGGAAGGAGAACACCTTTGTCAACAGTGTCTTTGTCTTTGCACCAGATGGTAGGATGGGCTTGGCATGACAGCGCCATTGCCGACCATGGTGTGTATGACAGGATTGAGGAGGTTCACACACAAACCAATGCAAAGGTCGTGGTTGATTCAGCATTTGCCTTGAAGGAAAGGKAGCATATCCTCATCAAAAGCTCACAGCATGACCCCGAACAGGAGGAACTCCTCCTCATCAACAGGGACGCGACGTYGTTGAGACAGATGTCTGAGTGGGGCATGAGAATGATTCAAGGACAGTTYCCAAGAATCAAGGACAGGATGTTCTTGGAGGAGCATGGAGACAGGAAGATCATCATGAACTTGTTGGTTAACCTCTACAACTACCAATGTAGTACTGTAGGGCATAACCAGATCCTATTGACGTTCATGAGGACACCAGCAGCAACTGATCCGGAAGAACCGTACGAAAAGAATGAGCTCGCAAAAGGCTTCTTTCACGTGGGTCGGGAGGTGTCCCCTGATGCGAATGCCATGTTTTGAAGGCAAATCGGAGGCAAATCCCATGGTCGTTTCATTAGTTTTGTGGAAAAGAAAAAGTTTAGAAAGGAATGTAATTAGCAAATGAGTTACCAGCAAATCACCGATAGTACCGAATGTTTCGTATTGTTACGACTATCGTTACGACGCCGACAGCAGTCGACACCCGCCGTCGTATTGTTACAACTATCGTTACGACGCCGACAGCAGTCGACACCCGCCGTCGACAAACTTACTTACTGTCAGTACCTCCTCCCCTCATTGTTCAACGAATAAATGGTTGGTTTCCTTAAGCATTGTTTAATTACAGTTGCATTTGTTGCTTGAATTTGCATGAATGAGGGGAGCAAGCAGCAAGCTGTACAGCTTACAGTTGCTAGTTGTGAGCTGTACAGCTTACAGTTGCTAGTTGTGAGCTGTACAGCTTACAGTTGCTAGCAGTAAGCTGTACAGCTTACTGTTTTGTGGTTTTCATGAACCCCTAGTTGAGCTCGCTGCCGCGTTCCGTAATACACACCAATGCAGCAATACATACCAAGTTATACTGAAACGAATATAAGTTGACTGTTATACTGCCATGAAGAGAACTTTATGATTCGAACCATGTGGATGCCGATCCGAACAGTTTTGGTGGGATTCCCCACGTGCTAAATTACTAGAAAACAGTTCTAATCCCACGTTGGTATACATAAAAACCGATACAGGGTATGCACAAAAACCCATACAAGAGAAGAGTGAAGGAATAAGTACAATCAGTACTAGGACGTACTGTCACAGCTACTGTCACAGCGGGGAATACGGCTCGCAACACTGCTCACATACAGCAAATGAAAGGCTCATTTAGTTGATTTCAATCCATGTAATTTAGTTCATTTGAATTAGTGCTTAACACAAGTAACCGGCATTGCGTTTTCAGTTGTTTTCACCATGGGATTCATTGCTGGTACGTGGTCGTTTGTCGATGGACTGAGCGTCGTTGTCGTTGTTGTTGTTGTTGTTATTAGTTTGCTGCCATTGCTGAAAGCAAGCCATTGCCATCGTGAGAGCGTTCTTCCACATCAGATTGGTTTCTTTAGCAATTTCGCTTGCCTCCTTTGCAATCAGGGAGTGCTCCTTTGCAATCAGAGAGTTCTCCTTTGCAGCAATCTTGGACTGCTCTAAAGCCATCTCACGATTTTCTTTGTCCCTTGCTTGCTGGCTAATCAAGTACTCGTTGAATACAGTAGCGTCGGGAACTTTCGAGTAAGGTCTCTTATTCGGAGTAGCGGACTGCACTTTGTTAGGCCTCACAATGGATGAGTCTACAGTCGATGATGCGTCTCCAGCTTGGATAATGGGAGCTCTTCCTTGCTGCACTTCAGCAGAGKGGATCCTCTCCAAACCCTCCTCAGCCTCACTAACAATGAAGCCTTTCTTCATGTCAAAGGCCTCCTCTCCAGTACCAAGGTTTGCTTTTTTTCCAATCAAGTAATGGGCGCGCCTGGCAAGCWTCACGTACCTAGGCATGTTTGGGTTACCAGTTGAGCTCCTCTTTTTTTTGATGGCGTTGTACTTGTTCCTGATGGATTTCTTGCTTCTATCGAAGGGGAACTGTACAGCATGCTTGGTGACAACAGTATCCCACTGTTCAGAGTCAATGGGGAGAACCTCCACTATCAACTCCATGAGACTCTCTAGCTCTTCTTTAGAGTAGTTAACTGTACCGGCTCTGAGGCCGTTGTTGTTGTTGTTGGCGTTTTGATCCATCTTGAGGAAAAGAACACGGGGGATTGGACAATGAGACCTCTCTTTGCAGTCGCCGGCCTCCTCCTCTTGCTCTCTTTGATGCAACAAAGAGAGGTAATAGAATGTAGTGACTAGAAAGACTGTTTGTTGGGACATATTTTGTTTAAATGGCTCGACTGATGAAGGCGCCATGGTGAATAGAGGCGCGTTGTTGCTTGTTGTTTCTTATGTTGTTCACAACAACGGAGTCTTAATTTTGGCGGGCCTTTCTGTTGAGTCTTTTAAGAGTCCCTCAACGGACTCGAAATTTTTATTCGTGGATTCCGCTCTAAATGTAGAGTATTTAGGACTGGTCGATTTGACCCATCCTAAACGCGCTAAATCTGGAGTCATTTTCACTAAATTTTCGGTCTGTCAGTCTATCAAATCTAGAGTATTTAGCATTTCGGGAATCACCCAATGTCTCACTATTGAAGTACTTATTCACTACTAGTACTTCGTACATAGTTACCGATCGGTGTTTTTTGTATGTTCAATTCATACATGTTGTGTACCACTGTTGACTGGATAAAACTATTGAGGACACTCTCCACTTACCCTGTACTACTACTAGCATCCTTGAATCCCCGGGACAATTGAAAAACGGAACAGGGCACGCCAGTGAATCCACCTTTTCTGTTCCGTTCCGTTGGAATCGCTGCACGGAATGGACAGTCACTCAAAAAACGCCCTTTGGTACCATTCCTTCGTATAGGCAGAGCGCGGGAGACGGGCGCGGCCGGTTCGCTTGTCGTACCGCAGATCTTCAAGGACTAGTATCCCCGTGTACAGCTGGGATTCGACGTTGTCGTTCTCGTCCGTAGCCAGCTGGAGGGAAACCTTGCGGCCGATACTTTTGTTGCTGCTGTTGCTGCCGTTGCCGTTGCTGTTGCCGTTGCTGTTGTTGCTGCTGTTGTTGCTGCTGTTGTTGCTGCTGTTGTTGCTGCTGTTGTTGCTGCTGCTGTTGCTGCTGTTGTTGCTGCTGTTGTTGCTGCTGTTGTTGCTGCTGTTGCTGCTGTTGTTGCTGCTGCTGTTGCTGCTGTTGTTGCTGCTGTTGTTGCTGCTGTCGGTGCCCGTGGTGCGACCGCTAGGATTTGTGGCCAGGAGAGGATCGAATGCCGACCAACGGCTCTTCGGAGATGGATCGTTTCCCCTGCTTGCACCACCGAACGTCCAGAACCCCCGCCGGCTCGTAGATGCCCGCGGCGGTTCGTCCACCGCGTTTGCGTCGGGAACGACCGGGGTCGCCGCGGCGTCCGCATTCGCCCTGGCCACCTGCGACTCGACCCCGAACAACTCGTCCGCCGGCCTGAGCCGCTCCGTGCTTCCGTAGAGGTTCGGGCTCAGCGGGTTGTTCCGCACGAGGCGCCTCCACTCCCACACAAAGACCGACGGCGGAAAATTGGTGGTGATCATTTCCCAGGTGCTCACCCGGAAGGGCACCGAATCGCCGCTCCCCGACTTTTCGTAGTACACGTCCCGATCGATGCACGTCGCGACGTGGTCCAGGTACAGGTCGGTTCCGCTGGCCGTCGATGGATTGGTGTGCCAGATGAGCAGGACGTCTCCCGGACGGAGTTTTGCGTTGCGTTGTTCCGCGCTCGAGGAATTCCCGTCGTCGAGGAGCCTCGGATTCGTGGCGGTGGACTGGATAAGATCAAAGCCGGGGCCCCGAAAGGCGTCAAAGGCGCTGCCCGGATCCGCCGTCGAAATCGTTATGGCGGCCGTATCGGCATTGTCGGCCTGGAAGAGGACCTCCCAGGCAAAACCCCAGCAGTTGTAGGTCAGCAAGATCTCCTGCCGGGCGTAGATCACTTTTTTGCTGTTTTTGTTTTGGACCGAGCCAAAGAACGGGAGCTTGGGAAAAACCGAAGTTTCCCGTGTGGACAGATTGGACGAGCGAAAGTGCAGCGCGTTCGTGGCCTGCATCAGCGGGGGTAAAAAGTCTGTCAGTCGGTAGAGCTTGTCTGGATCGTACCGCACCCTGGACTTGGTCTCGGACCATCCGCAGTAGGCCCGCAGCAAGCCGTCGAAGGTTTCCCTGCTGATTGGCTTGGTGAATTTTGCGTCTAGGCTCAGGGCGAACTGCGGGAGAGAGGCACTCGACCCCGCGTCGTAGGCGAATCCCTCGTAGGGAATGCTTCCACCACTTCCCGCGAGGTTGTCCACGATGGACAGCTCGAGCTTCGGGTACGGTCGGATGACGGTCGTTGTCGGAAAAACAAAGAGGCCCCGGACGAAACCAAAACAGAGCAACAGGAGGAAAAGGAGCAATGCTTGCGTTTGCCTTGCAGCTGCAATTGGTAGCAGTCGAGTCGCCGGTGTCAACATTTCTTCCTTTGTCAGCGATACTGTATAGAACAATCGGAGTGCGTCACAACATGATATCAACCTTTACTCCAATAACTTCAGTATGAGGGAAGAGCCGAGCGATCGCTGGGTTTCTACCGTATGTTCTCCTCTGATCCGAACAACAGAAAATGGATCTTTCCTTTACCAGTACGAGGACGTACGAGAATACGGTATGAATCAGAATTTTCGTCCCGGGTTGCTCCACTCCGACTACTCTAGTACTACTACGAAGTATCAGTGTGGCATGTATGTAATTCGTGCGAATCATTCACTATCTACTCGTGATTTACTATGTGGTACAGCCTCTCAAGTCGTACTGAAATCAAAAAGAGAAGTATCTTTTGTTCTGTACTGGTACATGGTATCGTAACACTTTACGTGCGATTATTGTAGCGTTCCGAAGTTAAGTAGAATTCTGTACCTACTGTGGTAGAGTGTTGTTGTGAGGCTAAGTCAAGAGTAGCTCGTGAGTGAATGGCAGGGGCATCTGCTGGCTGCAACTCACCGCCTCAACTCACTCTTTACTGCCAACACGTAATGGCTTGTACTTCTACGTACAGTACTTATGGAACAATTGTACTGAAATGAAATTTTGGAATTTTGAAGATAACTCAATTGACCAATGAAAACAAGGAAACAAATCTAGGGAGGACAGCTCGAAACTACGCCTACTCTACGTGACGAAGTACTTCCACTACGGAAAAGGATCTGATCACAATAAATCTCAACGTCTCAACGAATCGGATAGAAATTATTGTTGCAACTTCAAGAGGACCTCCAAAAGATTGTGTTCAGCAGGGCTTGACCGTCACTATAGACAACGAGAGAAAATAGAATCGTGAGAAAACCAGCGGTTCAATCTGAAAAAGCATCGTTTAAAAGGTCTACAAAGAAAACATTCCACGATTAGCACTGCTCGAAAATGATCGAAACAGAACATGCTCGCCAACGGCGCGAGGAACGAAGCATCGATAAAAAGGATTTGAAAGCCGCTCTTAAGTACGGAGACGAATTAGAATGTAAATATGGACGTAAGTTTAGGTACAAAGACCTGATTTACATCGTGGATCGGAAAAAGAAGAGGGAAATCACTTGCTACGCATCGAGGCTCAAATTGAAGAAAGTGCGCATTACCAGCGAAATGAATCTCAAGATCCAAGCAGCACAGACAAAACTAAGACATAAAGCTGCGTGCTGGAAGTCCAACACCGTCTTGGTTGTTGATACATCTGGAAGCATGAGGGCATCGGATGTCTGGGGCGCAAGAAGCCGATTGGACGCCGTCTGGATTTGTATTGCACTAGATTTTATCGCCCATCGCATCGAGTCAGGTAGTGCAGATTGCTACGATGTGATATCGGTAGTTCTTCTCAATGATAGTGAAAAGGCAAAAGTGCTGATCAGTAAGTGTGAAAAACAACTCTTTTTTTGTGCGGAATAAATTGGTTGAATCCTAGTCCTCAATCCCCTTTTTTGGCATCTACGCATTACAACTAATTTGCTTTAGAGTCGTCTGCGACAAGCTGGGCATTGTACAACAAAATCGTCGATATCTACAATGACGGAGAAAACGTGCCAGCCAGATCCCATGGATTTTACGTTCCTAGCTTGAAGAAAGCAGAAGAAATTCTTACTCTCAACAATAGTTCCTCGTGCGCCTTAGCGCTTTGTTTTCTTTCGGACGGCAGCCCGTCCGATTGTGGTACCGCCCATGACTCGATTCTCGAAAGGGTCGAATCCTTGGGAATGCGGTTTGGCCGGCGTCTTACTTTCTACACGGTCGGCATGGGAAACGATCCGAACGAGTTTCGAATGCTTCGACAAATGTCCGACACCGCGAAAGATTACGGTGTGCAATCTTTTTTTCAGTTGCCCTCGATGTCTACCTCGTCTCTCGGATTATCTCTGACCTCGACAGCAACAACGATTACGAAGACCCAGACCGAGATGACGGACATCGCAACTTTGAAACAGAGAAAGGTCAGAGATGTCCTCCGTGAGTCAAGAAAGAAAGCTAAGGAAGAAGTTGTCTGCGTTGTCTCTGAAGACGAGTACTGGCTCTATCCTGTTGAAAAAGTGACTCGAAGTATTTATCGCGAGTGGCTCGATGAAAACAGAAAACGTCGTCATTGCTATGACATTGCACCAATGATGGAAGGTGAAAACACCTATTGGGTTGCTATGAACAAAAAGACGTTCGGAGAAGGGGCTGAGCGCTTTGCGTATCGATTCTATGAAGTCGGACAAGACGGAAAGACAGTGATAGGAAAGCCACTCGTTGCGAAAGAAAGTCGATTGGTTCTCGAGGGTGGCGAGGCGAGCAGAAAATCCTTTGTCCAAACGTTCTGTCAAACTCAGCAGCTAGCACGGCGAATCGCGACCGAGTTCAATGAGAAAATGGACAAACTATATCGAGTGGACAAATCAACCCCAAAAATCTCGTTTCTCGACTGTTCGGTGTATGAACTGGATGACAATAACCTCGGAAAAACACTAGTCCTCGTGGAAGAAAAGATTGATCATGACGCCTGGCAAAAATGGAACACTAACAATGGGTACGTAGAAGGAATGGACGAAGTGCCCGAGTTCAACCACGAAAAAATGAGATCGGCGCTGGACCACCTCGCCTGTATCGAAGTTCCAGAAGTAAGATCTGGCGGTGCAATCGATTCGGATCCAGTTCGCCTAGCCTGTGACCTTGACGCTATCGAAGAGGGCGACGAAGACGAAGATTCTCAAGAGAGTGATGTAGGTGACCATAACTATGGTTCTCCACTGAAAAAGCTCGCCATCAAGTTCAGTGTCTCCGAAGTGGCGCAGGCCTTTTCCCATTTCAGTTATATTGCGAGTGGGAAAAAGAGGCTTATATGCGACCTGCAAGGCGTGTTTGATGAACGGAGCAACACGCTCAAGCTGACAGATCCAGTAGTTCATTACTTCAACTATCGCAGACAACATAAAAAACGAGTCCATGGTCGAACCGACAGAGGACGGGAAGGCATGGCCATGTTCTTTGACACCCACAGAGATTGCTGTGGTCATTTGTGTCGACTGGTAACAGGTGGACTGAGAAAGAGTCGGGTTCGCAGCAAGCATAGACAGCAAGGTCCGAAAAGCGACTCGCCACAACCCCATGAGCACAAAAGGGAACACGATTAAAATCTTTGCATCGAAGTTCACGTTTACTACTATAGTGAGGAAATGGTCACTTTGTGGTCACGAGTGTGTACTATATCTGTTGCTATAGAATGAACGCTCTCATCTATGCAAGATTCTTCTCGCTTGGTTCGAAATAAATGGCACGATGTTAGAAATAATCACTCGACCCCGGTGTGGTACGTGTGAGACTAAACCACTACGAAAAGCTAGTGATTGAATACTCTCAGTTTTCACTCGATCGATCTCGAAATTGTTGTCCATAGGTGCTTTAAATTTTGCTACGAGACGCCTAAAGTTTAAAATGTTGCCATAGACATGGATCAAAAAATAAAATGAAAATAGTCATGATCCTATAGTAAAATTTGGATTTCCGTGTAATTGTCGTGCGGCAACTTGATAAAAGCAAAAACTCGCCAGTGTCACCCGCCGCATTCTTCAGACTAGCGCCCAAAAAATCTTTTGCAAGGTTGCAAATCACGTTGTCGACAAACAAAGTGAATTGCATAGCGGCAAAGTTCAAGATAGCATCCTTCGTTCTATTCGATCCTGCAACAAACGTTATTGCAGTCGAATAGGCCAAGAAACCCTGGATTCCAGGACAACACGGGCAATTGTTGGTCATTTCTGGGTGCTTGGAAAACAAGTGGAACAACTTACTGCCCTCAACTTTCGGTTATATTGTCTTTGAAAGCCAATTCAAATTTCTTAGCGAAGTCTTCATCGCCTACGAGCCTAGCGAGGCGATTATCGTCGAACTTCTAATCATTTTCGTTGAAAGCAAGCTCGAATCCCTGGCAAAGTCTTCACTGCCTATGAGATAATCTAGACCGTCGTCGAACTTGGGATTGTCTTCCCCAAATGTGGCGATCACTGTCATCATGCAAATCAGAATTACAACAATTTCGCCTCCTTTGGTAGTTAGCGTCGTAGCACCGCCACTGAGAGCAGTGAATCGATAGTCTTCAGACTCGGTAGCCTCTGCGCTAGATCTGGAATCGACCGATTTGAGTTTCGCAACCACTACACCATCTTAGGCATTGTTTGTTGTTGTTGTTGGCACCAATCGAGTCGTAGCGCGGTCTAAGATTGAGCTTTTGTCAATCGTCAAGGTGCAAACTGGGAGTGCCGTTTCGTACCGGTTCGTACTGTGAAATGCTGATAGGCTCTCTAGTGCTTGATAATACGTGGTTTACAATAAAGAGTGAGGTTATTCACTAGCTACTCGTGATTGTGGTGTGTGTACTACCTCACACCCCCCCACACTTGCAGAATCTAAAGAGTCGGAGTGGTCGATTCTCTCAGGAGGTTGTTCATCTTGTAGTAGGAGATCTACGAGAGGATTTAGATTACTGCAAGTGGAGCAGAATGTATTACGGTGTACTGTTGGTAAAGGGCGGGGCCGTATCGGTACTAATTGGCGTATGTTGTGTGTCTGACAAGGCCCCGTCCGCAGTAGTCGGGGAGTGTTGTTGTGTATCTGTTGAGACCACAGAGTAGGTGGGTCGGATTCTTCCCATAAAGACGTCTGTATGGGCATAGAATTTCGTACGACCAGTGGGTTTGCTCAATGAGTCACTGTAGTTCTCATCTGATCTTGTTTTAATAAACTCAATAAATTCATCATCAGTCCATTGGAGGATTACAAAGTGTTTCATTTCAACATGACGTGTCCTTCTAGTTGGTTGTTGAGCATTTGCCATTCTTACTGCASCATGATTATCAGCCAAGATTGGTGTAGGGGTGAGGAGGGGAAGCTGTAATTCCATCATTATCCATCTAAGATAGAGGGCTGCTTTACCGGCGTCTGCCATATTAGTGAATTCAGCTTCAGTGGAGCTCTGGGCAATRGTGGGTTGAAGCCTYGTACGATAGTATACAGCGGCYCCRGCAAGCATCATAATAATACCTCCCATAGATCGGCGTTCCAGTCTATCCGAGGCCCATGTTGTATCACAGGAGCCATGGAGTTGGAGTGGGMTATKGCTTKGGTAGAATGGTTTGAGTTGGGGTTGAGGTGAAAGAGGCTGTGGTAATGGTGCCTGTGGAAGGTCCATACGTGGGCTTGGTCTCCAGTATGTAAGGCCCTCATGTTTWGTGGCAAGAAGATAGGCAAATAAGTGCCGGATTGCATTGTAATGAATCTTAGAGGGATTGTGTGAGTGTTGACTGAGAGTGATTACAGCAACGGAAATATCAATACGGCAAATTGTAAGGGCGTAAATAAGTTCCCCAATGCATTGCCTGTAGCTGAATCCCATGGTTCTTTCTAGGCGTTTCGCATCGGATGGATTATCTGGGCCTTGTGTTAGTTGTAATTCGGCAAGATATTTAGTGTCTTCTTTCATCGGCGTAGGACGTTTTCAAAGCTTATATGTAGGATCATTAAGCCATCCGTGATGGTCACATATCTTCTCAATGTACTTAGCACAGTGGAGGTGATTGTAATCCCGTGTCTGTTGTACATGGATACCATTGAATTTTYGTATAGTGCCGAGCACGTTGAGGGGATTAGTCATTCTTTGCTGAATAAGGTCTCGAATTTGGTCACATACGTGTTCATGTTTGTTGGCAATAAGGAAATCATCGACCTGTCGAAGGATGAGTGTTATGCCCGTGTCATCATGTTTATAATAGAGGCAAGGCTCATGAGTGGTGGGTTTAAATCCGAGTTCTGTGATAAGGAGCTTTGAAATATACTTATCCCAGAGCCGGGGGGCTTCAGGGTGACCCTGGAGGGCTTTAAGTATAGGTACCACGTGCCCATATGGTATGGGAGGCCGATGAAGACAGTCTGTCCACCACTGTTGGAAAGGATCATCTACTCGCATAAAGAAGGGGCTTTTGGGAGCTGGGGCTTCAGCGAATGCATTACCCACGTCATAGCCAATGCACTTAAGATTAAGGGCGGCGGAAAGGGCCCAAGTGAGACGGTGAATGGGCTGTTCGACACAAGATGCATATGTTTCAGCCAGAGTAACGGCTTGTCCATATCTTTTGCCTCCATTACATGTCCCGCGAGATTTAGGTTCATCTATGCCTGTAAGTGGGTTTTCTTTTTCTAGATATGTCCAAACCCAGGGGAGGATTGTCATGTCAGCAGTAGATTTAACCAGTTCGCCAAACATGCCCACTTTGTGATACCGGTTAAGCTGTTTCCATTCAGATTTAAGGAATCCATCCCACTTAGGGGTATCTTTGAGGTTGGAAAGAGTGAGTTTCGCTATGCGTAACCGTTCAGTGGCCATTTCCGGGGAATCAATAGCGAGGGGCCATTGTGTTTTATCTAACCAGAGATCCTGGTTATAATTGAGTGAGTGTAAGTGATGGGCAATGACGTTGAGTTGATCAGCCTGTAGTGTTGGAACACCAGTGCCACTCAAAGCGAATCCAGTGAGTGAGCCAAATTTAAGTGTGACGGAGGGTTTGTGGGAGTCTCGCACATGTTGTATGGCCCGAATGAGCTCAGTGTGAGTTCTAATAGGAATACCATTGACTGAAGTAATAATAGTTCCCCTGAGATGTCGCTTCCAGTTACGGATGTGAGCATGAGCAATAGTACCAACTTGAAGAGCCGTGACTTCAAGAGCTACTATAAGGTCCGGGTGAGGATTGACAATGAAGCCCAATGTGGGATGGAAGCTGTTGGTGTTCTTGAGGGGAAGAGTGTAGGACGTCTCCTGGATAAACATGTTAGTGGATATATCAAGGGTCTCCAGTTCCGGTATAAGAGCGGCTATTTGAGGGCGTTCGAATTTAGTCCGATGAATGCAAGCAGTGAGTTTTGCAGCAGCCGCGGCGGTGTAGCTTGATGGGGAGTCATTAATAAGGTCTGTCACCAGTGTGATTGGATTGGTTGGCTTTGTATCCGTGAGTTTCACTGCGATGGTTTCGGGGTTGGTGTTAGTAGTGTGTGCCCTGTGGTCATCTTCAGTGAAAATGCTGAGGAGGTGTGATGCAGCTGGAGATCTGTTGTTGGGTTCATTGCCGTATTGCAATTCATCTTTCGAGTCATGCCGAGCAGTTTTATCCGTACCAGTGTGGATATCAAAGTATTTGATGTTGTCAGTGGTCTTTCCATATCCGAGGAAGATTCCATCATAGGTCCAGGGGTGTGTGGTGGAAGGCCTTGTGCTGGGACGTTTGGCAGTGATCTTAGCTCCAAAAGTAATTAGATTGTCCATTAGTGGAATGCGACCAGTATACGCCTGGATGGGGGTCATATCAATAGCACTGTGATAAGTTCTGTTATATAGCCATGTAGCATGAAGAAGAGCGTCCGTCCAGTATTCAGTGCCAAGCCCCGATGCATAGAGGAGACACCTAATGCGTTCTTTGAGGGTGCGGTGAGGTCGTTCGACCATGCCGTTTTGTGAGGACGTATCCGCAGCCGAAGAGACAGTATCATAGCCATGGGAGGATGCAGTCTGTTTGAATTTAGTTGATTTAGAGAGTTCACCACCGCCGTCGGTAACCTCATCAGGGTTCGTTCCTCGTACGTACCCTGCGAGTTTCTTCAGTCCCCACAGTAGTACGAGCATTGTACCTACCGGCCGGTATGATACGA